TGAAGCACTTGGAAGAGAGGAAAGTGATCAGGAATAGTCAACATGAATTCATGAAGGGCAAGTCGTGACTGACCAATCTGATTAGCTTCTATGATGTGGTAACTGGCTCTGTGGATATGGGGAAGTCAGTGGATGTAATATACCTTGACTTTAGCAAAGCTTTTGATATGGTCTCCCACAATATTCTTGCCAGCAAGTAAAGGGAGTATGGATAGGATAAATAGACGGTAAGATAGATAGACAGCTGGCTAGAGTGTCGGGCCCAACAGGTTGTGATCAACAACTTGATGTCAGGTTGGCGGTCAGTTTCTAGCGGAGTGCCCCAAGGATTGGTTCTAGGACCGGTTTTGTTCAAATATCTTTATTAATAACCTGGATGAGGGGATGGACTGCACCCTCAGCAAGTTTTCAGATGGCACTAAGCTAGGGGGAGAGGTAGATACGCTGGAGGGCAGGGATAGGGTCCAGTGTGACCTATACAGATTAAAGGATTGGGCCAAAAGAAATCTGATGAGGTTCAACAAGGACAAGTGCAGAGTCCTGCACTTGGGATGGAAGAATTGCTACCAGATTTGCCCAATACTCTAGGGTATGCTTATTTATTAGAGTTACTCTTATGGGACTGGGGGGAAGTTAACAATTCTATCAGTGTACTGCTTGTGCTTACTTGTGCTCTCATCTGGAGCTGAATTCTCCCTGCTGCCAATTCCCCCTCCCACTGTAGCTCTCCTGCAGGAATTAGATTCCTCAGGATGGGGTTCTTCCCACCTTAGCAACACACACAGACACTCACACCCACTAACAGAGCACGCCTGAGAGGACTGGGTACTCAGCACTCACAAGCTGACCCCTCAAATGTCTCTGGATTCAGTAGGCTGGGTTTAACAGCAATGCCACACTGCACCCTCATGAGCCTTTGGACTCAGTGGGCTGGATTAAACAGCACTTTTAAGTTGCCATCCTCATAAGCCCCCAGGTTCAGCCCCTCTTATCCCCACTTTCACACCACAGTCCATTCACTGGTAAACCACACAATGAGCAAACCCCACAGGATTTGGGGTATTACAGGGATCTTTAGCTTGGGTACAAGAAGCGTGGTTCCAAAGTGAATGGGGAAGCCAAAACAACACCCCTAGAGGAAGAGTGAGTGAAAGAGAAAGAAAGAGAGAGAAACAACCAGCTTAACAATTAAAGTTATTTATTATATATAGGGAGCCAAACACACAAAACAGTTACAATATTAAATCTAAATCGAAACTGATTACAAATGTTAGGGCTAGCTAATCATATAACGGTTTACATAGGGAAGAGTCAGGAGACCATGCAGATGAGGCTGGGGTGTTTCTTTAATTGTATCACCCTTGTCTAAAGCAGTTTAGTTGTGTCTTCCCTGGCCTTTTCATTGCTTTGTCTTTGATTCTAGCAGAGGCCTGAGAGAGGAGGATGGTTTTCCATGAGTGTCACTCTCTGGCTCCCCAAAAGCAGAGGGCTGGTATGTAACAGAATCCCAAGCTTGTTACAGCTTGGGGACCAACTGGCTAAGTAGCAGTTCTGCAGAAAAGGACCTGGGGATTACAGTGTATGAGAAGCTGGATATGAGTCAACAGTGTGCCCTTGTAGCCAAGAAGGCTAATGCATTAGGAGGAGTATTGCCAGCAGATCTAGAGAAGTGATTATTCCCCTTTATTCAACCTGGTGAGGCCATATCTGGAGTATTGTGTCCAATTCTGGGACCCTCCCTATAGAAAGGATGTGGACTCATTGGAGAGTGTCCAGTGGAGGGCAACCAAAATGATTAGGGGGCTGGAGCGTATGACCTATGAAGAGAGACTGAGGGATTTGGGTTTGTTTAGTCTGCAGAAGAGAAGAGTGAGGGGGGATTTGATAGCAACCTTCAACTTCCTGAAGGGAGGTTCCAAAGAGGATGAAGAGAGGCTGTTCTCAGTAGTGATGGATGGCAGAACAAGGAGCAATGGTCTCAAGTTACAGTGGGGGAGGTCTAGGTTGGATATTAGAAGCACTGGAATGGGTTACCTAGGGAGTGGTGGAATCTCCATCCCTAGAGGTTTTTAAGTCTCGGCTTGACAAAGCCCTGGCTGGATTGATTTAGTTGGGATTGGTCCTGCCTAGAGCAGGGGGCTGGACTTGATGACCTCATGAGGTCGCTTCCAGCTCTGATTCTAAGAAGGGGAGGCCTTCCTACTGGGGTGGGGGACAGAGGCCGGCCGTGAAGGGAGGGCCTTCGAGCATCTTCCATCCGCTAGGCCCATCAGTTGGGGGTGTGCATCTGGGAGGCCCTGAGGGAGAATTTCTCCCACGGACCCAGTAACGCTCCCCAGGGCCTCCCCACTAGGGGCCTGTGCCTTGTATCCCTTTCCCACCACAAGTCCTCTCTTCCAGGGCCGGTTTTAGGAAGTGCGGGGCCCAATTTGAACTGTTTCAATGAGGCCCCGGCAGCCAGGATTTTTTTGTTGAGCAGAAAAAAAAAACCCAACCTACCGCACACAAAAAAAGAGTGACAGCCCCTTTGAATTCCCAGTGTGTGACCCAAACATGTGCGGGCGGTAACCGCTAATGTGAGATGATCCCAAATTAAATCATGAAATAAAAGTACAATTCGTATTGTGGTAGAGAAAAAGAAAATAGCTAAAAAACTAAATGTCTGGAAAAACAAAAATAAGGGAGATAGGAGGCGTAACTTGATTTGTTAAAAAACAGGAAATTGCTTTAGATCAGTGGTCTCCAACCTTTTTACACCCAAGATCACTTTTTAAATGACAGAACAAGCCAAGATCTATCGCCCTGCCCATTCCTTGAAGTCCCGCCCTCTCTATTCTCCTCCTTTCCATCACTTGCTATTCCCAACCCTTATACTGCTGCTTTTTTTCCCCAATTCTTCTGTAGGAAGAAGTTTTTCTAACATCTGGCCAGTCTAGACTGGACCAAATGTCAGAAAACCCCCTTCTTTTGGAAGACCCGTTATTCCTCATGGAAAAAGGAATATAGGGGTGACCGAAAGATCATGTTTGCTCTTCCACTAAAAGAAGTGGAAGAACAAATGCATCCCTGGATGCAGAAGAGTTTTTCTGGGATAACTCTGGAATCCTGAAAAATTCCTGCAGTCTAGCCGTACCCTCGTTGGGTTGAGACAGGATGTGTAGGCTCTGGGGTGGGAATGAGGGATTTGGGTGTGGGAAGGGGTGAGAGGCGCAAGCTCTGGGAAGAAATCTGGATGCAGGAGAAGGTGGATAAGGGGACACTGGCTCAGGGAAGGGGCTCCAGGCTGGGCAGTGTTGGGGTCAGATGTAGGGTAAGCAAGCCACAGACTTCTGGATGTGAGGGTTCAGGAATTTGGTTTGGGGTATGTGAAGGGCTCAGGGCAGAGGGTTCCAGTGTATGACAGACTCAGATGTAGGGTCTGGGGGAAAGGGGAGTACAGAGAGTGTTATGATGCTGTGGCCAGATGGGGGCTTGGCCCCAACACGGGGGTTTATTGTCCAGGCTTCATTTTCAAATAAAATAGTATGTCAAACACAAAAAGTTTCTGCATTGTCTTTATTTCGGAGAAGGGCAGGGAACCTGTTTTGAGTCAGGGGTCACTGACCCACGGAAAAGTCAGTTGGGGCCACACAAGTGAGCTGCAAAAAAACCTCCTCCACCCCCCCCCAAAGCTTCACTAATGTGGCCCCAGCTGTGTTGCAGTGGGGACAGGTTTCTGCGGCTGGGGAGAGGAACAGGGAAGTGGGGAGAGGGAACAGGGAGCTAGGATGGCAGGGAATAGGGTGCCAGTGGGGACAGGTTTCTGAGGCTGGGGAGTGGGGAGAGGGAACAGGAGGGGAGTGGGGGCAGAGAGTCCCCTGCATACACCTCCTCCCAGGATCCCCTCCCCAGAGGGAAGCCGGCCAAAATCCCTCCCGCGCCTGCCCTGGGGCCAACCCCCGCTCCTGCGGCACAGCCAAAACCCCTCCCAATACCGCGCTAGCCCTGGGGCCAAACCCCCCTCCTGTGGTGCAGACAAAACCCCTCCTGCAGTCCCACGCCTGCCCTGGACGCCGGGGCCAAACCCCCCTCCCATGGCAGGGCCAATCCTCTGCTCTTGCCTGCCCCGGGGCCAAAATCCCCTTCCGTGGTGCAGCCAAAACCCCTCCCGCTGCCACACCAGCCCTGGGGCCAAACCCCCCTTCTGTGGTGCAGACAAAACCCCTTCCACAATCCCGCACCTGCCCTGGGCGCTGGGGCTAAACCCCCTCCCGTGGCAGGGCCAAACCCCCCTCCCGCGCCTGCCCCAGGGCCAAACTCCCTCGGTGCAGCCAAAATCCCTGCGCTTGACTCACCCCTCTTGAGTCCTGTGGTCACGGTGCAGGGAAGCCACCGGAGCCATGCTCCTCCTCCTCCTCCAGGGCTGACACCCCCTCCCACAGCGCTCCCGGCACGCTAGAGCTGTGGGAGAGGAGCAGCCAGTGCACTTCCGGAATCCCCGGAAGTGGCGCAAAGCTGCTTCAGGAAGGACTTCCGTCCACCTCATGGGAAGCCAGCACTATGCTGGTACTGGTAGGTAATGGGGATTCTCCGGGGTGAGGGGAAAGTGGGAAATGAGGGGTGGGGGGCCCTGAAAGCTCGCGATTGGCTGGTTGAGGCCTCGTGATCGACTGGTCAAGGCCTTGCGATCGACCAGTTGATCGCAGTAGACAAGTTGGGGGACCACGGAGGCACGGGGCCCTCTTAGGTGTAGGGCCCGATTCGGGGCAATAGGTTGAATCAGCCTAAGGCTAGCCCTGATCCCTTCCCCCCTTCCCTGAACTCTGAATAGACATACTTGTTTTGATTTCAACAAAACGAACTTTGTATTTTCCTTTGAATAAAATAAACTGGGGCAGAGGAGGGGCTGAGAACCTGGAGGGGGAAGGGAAGAGGGGGCTGAGAACTTGGAGGGGGGGCTCGGGGCTGGGAGTGGTGTGGAGGGGGGCTGCAGGTCCGGGGACCTCAGCGAACTTGGGGTTGGGTGGGGCCTGGGACAAGATGAGGGTGGGCTGGAGCAGGGTCAGGGATTGCAGGGGACCAGGGAGAAGGAACAGAGGCATCGCTTAGAGGGCAGGGGTGGGGAATGGGCATAGCAAGGGGGCAGGAGATTGGGAGGCAGGACCAGGGACAGCAGATGGGTGTTCCATCATTTCATACATGATGGCACATGTCGCCCTGCCGCACAAGCTGGTCCCACATGCAGCTCCACCACTCAGCGTCCTACTGGACCTTCTGCCCCAGGGTCTGCTGCATATCATGCAGGATGCCCACATGCTGCCTTAGGAGGTCTTTGTGGACCCTCATGCGCTTTCGAGTCCCTCGGCTGCCTCGACTGGTGTGGATCACCTCTCAGCGATGGCTGGTTCGGCTGTGGAGACTAAAGAGGGAGAGGCGGTCAGTCAGTCATGCAGACACTGTCCCTGAGGCCATGCCCTCCTCTGTGAGCAGCAACCAACAGTCCTGTTCCCAGAGGTCGGTGATGTCCTATGAGCAAGGCCATGTATGGCCTGCACAGCAGGCCCTGCCTCACAGGAACCATGCTGCCCACTTCCCACCTCCACAGAGAAGCAGTCAAGTGAATTGTCAGGATCCCATGCATGGGAGAGGGGCTTGGAGCAGCCTGGCCTTCATGGGGCCCGCACATAACTGCACCCGGCAGTGCTGTCTGCAGAAGTGGGTGGTGTCTTACACAGGCAGACAAGCCCGTGTGCGGCGCTCCTCGGTGTTTATGGGGTTGTGCTTGTGCCCAGCCTGCTTCCAGCGGTGGTGGGAGGGTGTCCCCCTCCCAGGGGCCAGATGTGTGTGTGGCCTCCCTTGAGCCTATGAGCAAGATCTGGGGGTTACTCCAGGTTTGCCTCCTAAGATTGCATGGCGCATACGCAGTGCTGCACATAATGCCACGTGCACCAACTGCAGCACGATGTCTGGGCCAAGAAGGCTGAGCGACGATCACACCCCATCCCCTCTGCACCCATCTCCCCACCCCATGTGTGTGGAAAACTGAGAGCACTCACCTGATGATCTCTCCCCGCCTTCAGAGGATGCTTGAGACTCGTCCAGGCCCTGGGGTACCAGCTCCAGGGATCAGTATCTAGGTGCTGGCCGTTGTTACTGAGTAATGACAATGAAATTGATAGAATTTGAACTAGGATCTGATCTTGATTTTGATCCTGACACTAGAAGAACAGGTCCCCCGACACTGTATCTATCACCAGTAGATTTTTATGGCCTCAGTAAAAACACAACTCAGATATAATTTTAACCAATCTTAAAGAATTTGAACAATACACAGCATGTGACAACACAGAACCGCAGTAAACCTACCCCCTCACTCTTATGCCTTGGGAGATGATATTTTCTGTACAAAGAACCCGTTTGTATCAATGTTTTATATTTCTAGAGCTCCGTTGGAAACGGGGAAGTGGCAGCTTTCACTCCCTGTATTTTAACCCTCCTTTGTCATCAAACAAACTGTAGATTAGCTAAACACTCATCTCTTCCTCAGAGACCCATTTTGGAAACGGCTGGCTTGGAGACCTGAGCCAACTTTGTATTCTTTTGACAGACGGGGACTAGGGAGGATAAAGTATATTTGCTGATTTATTCGACTTTGTAACCAGTTAGAAGTGCCTTCATTTAATCCCCTACAACCAGTAAACCTACCCCACACCCTCAAACCAGAAGAGAGAAGAAGATAGTAAAGGATTCCCCAATACAACAAGGTAAGTTAATATACTTTACAGGTGTCTGGCTCAGATGGAAGATGACACGTATAGATGGAGGAAGGAGGCAAGCCTAGGACCTTCTTCCGTTCAGCAAGGGAACCTGCTGTCAGGGAGAAACACTAGGTGATCCCATGGAGATGTTGTTCTAGTTTAGCTTAATCACAGATTCCTTGAGCTCCTGAGGGCTTTCAGCACAAGGACCAGGATTCCGGAATGAGGCAAAGGAACCTAAAAGCTCTGCTGGATGTCCCCAGACACAAATCTCCACACCCTTCAGTGGAGGCTGTAATGGGAGGCACCCACAGCAGCTCAGCGATTCCAGTCCTTAGGCAGCTTCTATTCCGTAGCCGGATGGTAGGCCTCACTCGAGCCTTCGCCACGGAGCGACAGCAGGATGACCAGAATCAGCAACAAGCCAAGAACCAGAGGACCGAAGAGCAAAGTGATCAGGAGGAGAAGAGCAAGAGCCCCTCAGGTAACAGTTCTTTAAAGTTCCTTAGGCGGGAAAAGCAGTAAGGGCGCTGTCTCTGTGCACTGTCTCTGTGCTGTGTACAAAATGTCCCATGCCATGTGCAGTGTAGTGCACACCTGAGGTGATTTCAGCTCTGGCAGGAAAAACCGGATGGAGCTGGTTTTCCAATGCAGGGCACAATCCAAGATAGAGTTTAGTGAGACAAAATGGAGTCCATTGTCCAAGATGGAGTTTGTTAAAACAACATGGAGTTCATCATAATAATAAAGAGCCTTTAGTCCTTATACTGTGTCCTCCTCCTCCTGCCCCTGCTGTCCCTTGTCGTCCTCCTCTGCTGCGAGCTCTGGGCGGGCGACCCTGGGTGTCCACCACCACCCCCTGGTGGAGCTCCTTGTAGTAGGGACAGGAGTGGGGTCCTGCCCTGAAGCGAGAGTTGTGCTCCCTGGCGTAGCCTGGCGTAGTTCTTTAATTTTACTCCGGATTTGTTATAAGATCCGGGGTGGGGTGTCCCCTTTCCACCAGGGTCTCAGTCATGTGCCCATAGAAGTCTGTGGTTTCGGCGCCAGGAGTAGAGATCCTGCAGGGTATTCTTCTCCCCCCACAGCTCGAGGAGGGACATGGTCTCTGTTCTGGACCAGGAGGGGGCACGCTGTTTGCTACCCCTGGCAGGATTCTGGGAGCCCTGGTGGTGCTCCCTGTGAGCTCCAGGAGGGTCTCGGGGGCTTGTGGCTGGGCCATGGCTGGTAATGCCTGTGGCAGGGAGAGCCACACAGTCAGGTGCTGCTCCTAGGGCCGGCTTACTGCCACAAGGCTTGTCCAGGGTGTCTGCAGCTTTAAGACTATAGAGTTGTGATTAGTTTGGATGGAGTGTCCATCAGGGTACCTGTGTTATTTCCTGGAAGCCTTTCTTTCGAAAAAAAACCCCTGTTCCTCATGCACACATGCCTTTTTCCAAAAGAGCTCTTTCGGAAAAAGGCTTCTTCCTCATAGAAAGTGGTTTACCGCGGTCAGAAAACCCCCTCTGTTCTTTCCACTTTCTGTCGAACAATGCAATAGCAATGTTCATGTAAGTGTTGTTTTTCCGGAAAAACACTGGAGTGTAGACATACCCTCTGTTCTTCTATTTTTCTTGTTACTCTGAGTAGTCTTTGTTAAAACTGTTTGTTTGAGAGATCCTAGAATGCCTAAAAACAAACCTAAACTTAAATAGGGAATAAATAAACCTGCTGAAATATATGACATTCTTCCAGGATTTGGGCCTGTTCACATTTGCATTCACACCAACAAGAGATACAGAACTAGCATACCAAACAATGTAAGATTTGCTTATCGGAGCATTTTAGTTACAACTTAAAAATGATTCTGGTACAGGCAGTCCCCGACTTACGCGGATCCGACTTATGTCGGATCCGCAGTTACGAACGCGACTTTTCTTGCCCCGGAGGATACGGACTGCGGGACCTCGCGGTCCCGCCGCCCATGTACGCTGGGGCAAGAAAAGCTGCTCCGCGTCTCCCTGGTCTGCAGACCAGGAAGATGCGGAGCAAAGCCACGGCTGTCCCGCCGCCGGCTTCCCCCGCGGCTTTGCAAAGCAGTCCTGGCTTGGATTGCCCGGAGTACCCACACTGGGCACATCACAGCACTCGGCCATCAGACCGGCTGCACTTGCCGCAGGCTGCCATCTGGGGAGAGGGGGTAATTGGGGGGCAGCAGGAGAGGTTCCACCCCCAGAAGCCCACAGAGCCAGCCCAGTCCTCCCCATCGGGGGCTCGTACCCCATTCCTTCCTCACCTCCTTCCACTTACCCTGCGCTAGCCCCCCTTCCTGATGTACAAAATAAAGAAAATGTGTGGTCAAAAATAGAATGTCTCTTTATTGAACAAAACTCGGGGAGACTGGGAAAAGGAGGTGGGAGAGGGGAAGAGAGAGGGTGGGGGGGCAACTAAAATGATCAGAGGTTTGGAACAGGTCCCATATGAAGAGAGACTAAAGAGACTGGGACTTTTCAGTTTAGAAAAGAGGAGACTGAGGGGGGATAGGATAGAGGTCTATAAAAGCATGAGTGGGGTGGAGAGGGTGCAACAAGAAAAGTTCTTCATTAGTTCCCATAATAGAAGGACTAGAGGACACCAAAGGAAAGGAATGGGTAGCAGTCTTCAAACTAGTATCAGAAAGTTGTTCTTCACAAAGCAAAGTTAATATAAATCAAACTGATGATGCAGAAAATCTGTTCAGATTAAGAAATAGCGGATTGGCAAGAGTTAATACAGGTTTGGCAAGCGTTAATACAGGTGTGGAGATAGGACAAATAGATTTTTTAAAAATTTTGAAATAGGCTGTAATGAAGCTGAGGATAAATACTTTTGATGTTATACAAATTGTGTTGTGGTAAATTTAATCCTTGAGAAAACTATTTTTTGAATGAGAAATAAACTTTTAAAATTAGCATGGATAATTGAGTTTAGTTCATATTTCTCTCATTGGAAGTTTTTGTCTAGTGATTTAAAGCATGGGACTTGTGGGACTTGGAACTAGAAGCCTCTAAATGTAACCCTTGTTCTTTTTTTTTCTGGGCGTGGGGGATGGAATCACTTAAACTTTCCGCCTCATTTTTCCTATTTGTGAAATGGGTTTATTAATAAGTACATCTTGCACAGGGTGAGTTGGAGGATTAATGAGTTAGTATTTGTCCAGCAATGAAGGATGAAAATTATATGCAACTCTAAGAATGATTATTTTATTTAATTTTTATTCTAGTCCTCTTGTTCTCTAGCTATGGAAATTATGAATGCTAGAACAAAATACAATACGTTCTATTATGCTGACGGTTAAACCTATGTCCTCTTGTCTCCATTGAATGTAATGATATTTCTGATTAAGAAGAATGTATATTGCACTAAAATGGTTGAGCACTTTGACTCACATGAGTCTGCTACTTTTTCTTAATTTAACGGTCCATTTTTATTCCTAGTTGTTGCTGCTATCACATTATTGTAACTTATTATTTTTGCAGAAGTGTGATGAAGGTGTTGTGGTGCAAAGATTGAGATTTACCATATTCTGAAATGGGTTTGAGTTAATTGATAAAAGTTTTGGCTCTATGATTTGAGGCGCTAATTTGGTGAAACCTGATTTGTACATTAAGGGGGAAGTATCTCTAGTTGCTTTTCTTTTAAAATCATAGGGTCTGCCAATTCTCCTCTGATTAAGTCATTCTTCTTACTCCAAGTTGCATAAATTCTACCCCAATGGTTCTCAGTCAGGGATATGGTCTTCTAGGGTTTACATCAGCTTATTTAGATATTTAGATATTAGTTTGCTGTGATACTTTTGTATTTTTATGTCTGGTAGTGTAAGCAGATAGTTTTAAAGTGAGGTAAAACTTTAGGCTTATTGAGAGGTCGAGGTGAATACTCCCAATTCCCCCTCCCCTTGCTGCCTCCGTATCAGGGTCCGGCTCCTACTACATTTAAACTGAAAAGCTGCAGTAGGGGTTGTTCCTGGACCCAGCGCAAGCTTGGACTGAGTGCCTTCCCTTATTGACCAATCATGTAGTCAATACAAATTGTATTGACTACAGGATTAGCCAGTTATCCATCTCTTGTGGACCTTTGGTGAGGCTCTTGGACAAGGGGTGGCATAAATGGGGCAGTGATTCAAAGGGGTCCAGGGCTCAACAGCAGCAGAGGTGGCTGGAGCCTCCGGCACTGCCAGAGTGCTGCACCACACACTTCTTGTGGCTATGAAGGCTGGGCAGGGGACCGGTGGCACACTCGAGGTGGCTTAGAGGGATGACTGCATCGGCCCCACCTCTTCCAGGAGTGCAGAATCAGCTTCTCTCTCCAACCTAGCCCAGGGGCCTGTGTAGGCTGTTGGTGCCCCTGCCTGTGGCCAAAAGAATGTGACTAGCCTCCTTTCTATGGTTTTATTTCTTCCAAAGAGACCAGCAAAGGGGACGGAAAGTGCTAATTGTAATACATATTTTCAAATGCTTTGGGGGCACCAGGAGCTGACGACATATCTCACCTGTCCAAGAATTCTCCACATGATAAAAGTATGTAATTTTGTAGTTCAAAGTGGGGAAATTGGGAGGCCTACCTGCGCCTCCTGCACACTGGTTCCATCAACCACCATGGGCCCAAGTGTATATTTCTCCAAGGATGTCTTCTCCTCTCTGTTCTTGAAACAAATTCTAGCTGGTTTTGTTGAGTTGCCAAGGCTGTTCATAAGCAAGTGTAACTGTCTAGTAATTGTTGTTTCTGAGTATTCTTCAATTGCTGTTGGCCATCATAGAGGTCAGGTACAGTAATTGGAAAGAGGACAGACAATCAGACTGGAATCACATCTGGGTTCTCCAAAGGACCCAGTAGCAGTGAGGAGAAATGTTGCCAGTCCCTTCCAAAAATCACTTTCCATGACTAGTTACAGATTACCCCCAAATTGAAATGTTTGAATGTACCTATGTGTAGCCCGGTGGGGCTCAGGCAGGTGCTCCTCCCCCTTGGGGTAAGTGGGTGGTCACTCCGACCCACTGCCCCGACACACTGTCTATAATAAAAAGTCCTTACGTGCCAGCCCTTGTTACAGGCAGGGCAACAATATACCCCCAAGGATTGTTCTCAGGCCTGACCCAACTTCAGGGAGTGTCAACTGGCAACAAGCAACTAGACAGTACAAGGCCCAAACTCTGGTTCCGGGTGGGTGGCAGGAAAACAGTTTATAAGCCTGGGACCTGGTTCAAAGCGGAGCTGCAGGCAAACACACACCAGTAATTCAAGGCCCCTTTGCAACAACCCCAGTCAGGTCCCCTTGCTCAAGTGGGGGTCTGGCCGCTGCAGGCCACTGCACAGAAACAGCCGAGGGGGGAGACTGCCATCCAAGAGTGGGGTGGCAGGGAGGATGCAGGCCCGCCCACTTCACTGCATCCCAGACTAGTCAGCTGCTGGGTCATTGGGGATCTGTACCACAATGCATTGACCTTCTGGCAAACAGGGGCCGACTATCCCTGGGCTGCTTCTATTACCCCCCTTGGGCTATACTTGAGCAGGTCATCTGGGCACTGTGGTTTGGAGTCCTCTGGCCAGGTAAACAAACTCTCTGGGCAGTCCTCCAGTAATGGGCACGGTGGCCCCAGCCAGTCCTCAGCTTCCCTAGGGTTCAGCTCCTCTCTTGGGAGTGCGGCAGAGGTTTCTGGCTTCCTTAGTCACTGGCACTTCACTGGGCTCTCTGGTTGGCCTGTTATACCCTAGCCCCACCTCCTGGCTTCCTGTCAGGTGAGTTGCTAGGGCCAAGTGCTGCCCACCAATGCTCAGGGAGGGACTCCTCCCCATCAGGGACAGTGAGCAGCCACTCCGACCCACTGCACCATGTTATAGAAGATGCATGCATGAGCACTTGTCATGAGCAGCTGACAAGTCCCAGCTTTCCACATCAAATGATTGGCCAGTTAGGGGAGGCTCCTTGGCTTACTACAGGGTGGAACTCCATATGCTTTCTCTCTGATGGCTCTTGAGATTGTGTTGCAGGACACCTTTGGGGCTCCAATGAGATAGTACTCTTCATTCTGGGATTTCTCCAGA